TACCACTATCTTGATGGACCACATGTGTCAAACACAAGGCCCGCAGGCCAAATCCGTCCCGCCAGGCCTTGCAATGTGGCCTGCACCGCACTGTCATCACTGCACTCCGCTGCGTTTCCATCACAATGACAGTTTATGACTGTTCAGTAAACCATTCGGCCCGCGATTTAGGCTGGATTTTAGATTTTGGCCCCTTCTCTGATTGAGTTCGACACCCCTATGATGGACCGTAGCTTTGAATCTGTGCCTGGTGACACCAGCTCTGCTGCAGACCTGGGTGGAGCCAGCCCCTGGGAGGGTCATTCTCTGTGCCTGGCCCACATGACCCTGCTCCAGAATGGTCTGGTACAACAGGACCCCAAGGCCTGACAGGTTTACCTGGGTGAGAACTCGGGAGTGCACTTCGAAAGGCACGGTCACATGGCCCTAAATGACCTCTGAGCAACGCCTGGCCCTCCTGGAGGTCCCGTCTTCGTGGGTCCGGGTGGGGTGGCCCCAGCACAAGCATATTTCCAAAGAACTCCCTCGGGTTATTCTAATGTGAGTGCAGCTGGGTGGCCCTGACCTAGAGAACTAGGGTTCAACAGCTTGGGGATGAAACCCTGTTTCTAATAAAGCAGCAGAAACCATGGGGACATCACTTGGCTGTGCTCAGAGCCCTTGACAGGCACACCCTGGCCGTGTGTCCCCCTCCAGCCCGCCCCCCTCTATCTGCCCCTCCGTCTGGACGGCCATGTTTTTAATAAGAAGAATGGAGCCTGGCGACCCGTGCTGGAGAGGGCTGTGGTCTTTCTTGGCTTTGCTGCAGCGTCTCCTCTGAGGGAGATGCATCCATCACAGGGTCCATCTGTGTTTACACGGGTCGGTGGAGCCCTAATTGCACCCTCAGTGCACCGTGCAGCCTGCAGGAGACCCGAATGGGGCAGTGGCCCAAGGCCTGTGCTGGGGCGGCCGGAGCTGGACCGTGGGCAGGAAGATGAGTGGTGAGCGCTGGAATCTCGGGCCCAGGAGACGCGGCAGCAGATGTTCTAGGATGACACAACACAACCCCGAGGAGGGAGGGATGGGCTTCTGGAACTCCCTGCTGTGTGCTCAGCTTGCACGGCCTTGCAGAGGAACATGCACACTCGCAGGAGACTTTCTGCAACCAGGAGTCCAGGGGCAGATATCCCATGACCCCAACCTGGGCAAGGAACTCGGGGCCGGTGGAGGCAGCTCTCGGTGCCCACAGCCATGGGGATGGCCCACTGCGAGACAGCTCCAGGACTCCAGGCGAAGTCAGAGATTAGAAAGAGCAGGACGTGGTGGGAGGAGAAGGAGAATCTGGTCTTGGATCCAAGAATTTGGTCTGCACTGACCAGGAGTGTTGCCTGGCGAATGCCCGTCCCGGGCTAGGTTGGGCCGTTTGCCCAGCCCTACGGTGGAAGCCGACGCCCCCTCCAGGGTCTCTCCCTCAGGCTTGTGGCTTGGCGTTAGAGCAGGGGGCTGAGCTAGGGTAGTGCACCTCTCTAGCAGACAATGGCCTTGCAGAATCCTCCGGAACAGCTGTGTAAACTCAGTGTGGGAGGAGGTGAGGTACTCATATCCTCAATCCTCTCCCAAGGGAATGGACGGAAACAAACAGAACCAGAAACGCCTCTTGGGGTCTCCGGCAGAGACCGGAGCTTGGCCTCCGTCAGGGTACCTCATAAGCCCATGCAGCACACCCAACACAGACCACTCCCCAAAGTGACCTACGTGCCCAAGGCCCATGCAGCAGCCCCATGGAGAGCTGAACGCCCGCCAGGAGCCTGCACCCTGGGGCCCCCAACCCGAGACCCCACCCTGCCTGCCAGGGCTGAACACCTTGCAGCTGCGCCAGCTGGCACTCGTCCTCTGCTCTGGACACCTCAGGCCTGACTCCTGAAGGCGCGACAGATCAGGGGCTCCCAGGACCGTCGGGGTGGAAGGCAAATATGTGGGCTCGTCTTCTGGAACAATGTCCAGAGCTGCGGGTTGGCAGCCAGGCCCTTCAAGGTCTAGCTCTGGCCCTCTTCTGCCCAGTGTTTCTGGGCCACTAGACCCACCACTGTGCACCTGGGCATCGGAACCCAGAACTGAGTCAAGACCTAGCCATTTGGCCCGAGGCTGCTGGCAATAATTTATACTGAGCCCTGGGCCACCGCCCATCCCCCTTCCCGCCTGGGTGTCAGGTGCCCTGGCTGGGCCAAGATTCAGACACGCAGCCAGGCCAGGTCCCGATAGCTGGTCCTTGCCCTGACTCAACGTGAGACTTGAGCCAAGTGCACTGTGAACAAGCAGGGCATTTCGAGGCCCCTGGTTCCGGGGTCAATGTAAGGATCTTCCCGGATCTGACTTACAGATGCACTAGTAACCAAACTTCGCTCAATTATTTTTGTAGGTAACAGGACAACTTGTTTTTCATTAGTGCTTGTCAAAGCCAGCTGCCGTTGACTGGAACAGAAAGCCAGTCAGTGTAGCCTGAGGGATGCCTGAAGGGTCCCTACAGGCCCAGTTGAGTTTACAGCCTCAGAGGGTCCCACTGTTTCAACACTTATAAAAGCAGCAAAAGCAGAGACTAATTAATGCCCTGCAGCCCCAGGAGTGGGTCTCGATCCCCTGGTAGCCATGAAGTCATAGCAGGCCTCATTCCTCCTGCGGCTGTGCCAGGCAGGGCCCTGAGCTGCCTCAGAGCCGGACCCATGTTCTCCATTGGGAGGGGAGGCGGGAGCCGCTGGCGGGCCATCCTCAGACAGTAGGGGAAGCCCAGCACGAGGTGGCACCTGTGCTGGTGGATGCTCAAGCCTCTGCCTGGAGCCTTGCCCACTGGCTTGAGAGCACAGGGCCATGGGGCCTCGTGGCGTACGGAGTGGGGACAGTGCAGAATGCCCTTGGATAGTTTAACCAGCTCTGGATAGTTTATAGCCTCAGAGGGTCCCACTGATTCAACATCCAGAAAACGGAATATTATTCAGCAGTGAAAAGAAATGAGCTCTCAAGGCACAACAAAGACAAGAGGAACCTCAAATGCATATTACTGCGTAAAAAAGCCAGCCTGAAACGCTACATCCTTGATAATTCTAACTACATGACACTCTGGAAAAGGTAAAACTATGCAGACAGTAAAGACATCAGTGGTTGACAGGGGTGGGGGCCGGAGGGGGGAGAATGAACCTCGAGAGCACAGAGGACTCCCAGGCAGTGACACTGCTCTCCGTCCCATACTGCAGTGATGGATACATGGGAACGTCTATCTGTCCAAACTCACAGAGAGTACAGCACCCGAGACACCCGGAGTGGAAACGGGACTTCAGTTAATAATGAAGCACCAATGTTGGCTCGCCAGTTATAACTAACCTATCACAAGATGTTCATGATGGGGAAACTGTGCGGGGAGGAGGGATAAGGGAATCCTCTATACACTGCTCAGTTTTCTGTAAATCTAAATCTGTTCTAAAACAGTCTATTAATTGAAAAACAAAAAATAGAGCGTAAATACTGGGGCAGTGAAAGCAAACGAGCAGGTAGGGACAGGGACAGTTAAAGCATTCTAAGGCTTTAGGGCCTTCACGGTGTAAAGATAGGGATTAAATTTAGACTTTCAGTTAACTAAGTATATACTCACTTGAAAGAAATAGAGTGTATAACTTACTAATTAGGAGGGGAAAATAATGGAATGAGAAAAACCTCTAAAGAAAGCTAAAAGGGACAAAAAGAAAAAAACACACGAAGACATGGAAATGAACCCAGACACCAGCGAGATGAATGGGCTTGTTATGTAGAAGAGAGTGAAAGTCGGCCTCATTTTGAAAAGAATCTTGCTCTGTGCTAAGAACTGCACTGGAGAGAAGGACACGGGCCGAAAGAGAAGGTCACAAACCCAGACTCTGCAAATATAAGAGAATATTATGACTTTCTGTTGTTGTTTTTTGGCCAATAAATTTGAAAACAGATGAAATGGACAAATTCCCAGGAAAATGTCTCTAAAGCTGCCTTCAGGAGAAATGAAAACCCTGCATGTCTGACAGTCACCAAAGGCATTCATCGATGATCACAGAGACCCAGAGGCCCGTCAACTCATTCAGAGAAGGGAGCCAGCCCTCGATGACCCTGTAGTGACAGTAAAACCTGAACAGAGCCAGTTAAGGCCAGTGCAAGATGGAAAATTACAGACCAGCGTCATTCACTGTCAACCATGCAAAATCCAAAACAAAATATTAACAAATCATGCAACATCTTGATATACACAGCATGACTTAGGGATGTAAAATTGGTTCAACATTAGCAGTATTAATGCAATTCGCCACGTTTACAGATTAGAGAGAAAGAAAAAGTGATCTCACAACTGGTGGAGAAAATTCAACATTTGTTAAAATTCAACATTTAGCCCAATGGTATGACTCAGCTGTCAACCTATGAACCAGGAGGTCGCCGTTCTATTCCCTGTCAGGGGACTTGCGTGGGCTGCGGGCTTGATCCCCAGCAGTGGGTGTGCAGGAGGCAGCCAATCAATGATTCTCTCTCATCATTGATGTTTCTATCACTCTCTCTCAACCCTCCCTTTTCCTCTCTGAAATCAATAAAAATGTATTTAAAAAAAAATTTAACATTCATTCAAGATTAAAAATACCCAAAACAAAAACCACAAACAAAACTTCCTAGTGAACTAGAAATGGAAGAGAACTTGATAAAGGCAGCCACAGAACCCACCACCAGACCACCAACCCACAGCCACACCCAGTAGCCAGAGAGCCTCTCCTTGGAATCAGTGGGGCCTCTCCTGCTGCCCATTGAACCTGCAATCCCGCACCGCACAGACCCCAGACAACAAGGGAAAAGACAGGAGCACGACTACAAGTCCCGAGGGCATCCCTATTACAGCTTGTAGGTTACCCTCAACAAAAACAAACAGTAAGCAGGACAGAAATTGAAAATCCCAACAGAGTTTTCTTGGGAACTGACAAGCGGCGCTCAGGCCCCCAGGGGTCTGCAGGCCTCACCTGGAAGAAGATCTGTAAGGCGCCATGGAGCACGCACATCCGCCGTCCGAGGAAGACGAAGAAGGGCACCACCAGCTCCAGGAAGTGGTTGCTGAGGGTCTCGAAGCGGTGGACCCACCATGGGGAGTGGTGCAGGAAGTAGGCCATGGGGTTGGGCACCGGCTGCGTCTGTGGGACAGGAGGAGACCTGTGAGCTACACCCTGAGCTGCACCCCACAGGACCCCGCCTGCCTGCACTGCTCTGGTTCCCGGGAGCCCGGATGCTGGGAGGCGGTGGCGAGAACCCTGAGCAGCACTGGGCACTAGAAAGCCCCATGCGGAGGACGGGGCACGGGGGAGGGGCAGGACTGCGAGGCCTGTCTCAGGCGAATACTCACATACGGTTTGGTTTCTGCTTAAAGGGCAATGAAGGCTGGGAACAGGGTCCTGGCCCCGAGTGTGTGTTCCTGGGGACACACATGCTGAAAGTGGGTGGGCACGATGCAACCCAGGATGCTGCGTGTTGACTCAGCCGTGGTGCTGGCCACCCCAGGGCCCACCTCACAGGCTCGGTACCTCTGACCACAAGCCCTGTGCTCTCCCACCCCGATCTGTAGCTGAGGCTGGGAGCAGGCCACGTGGCCATAACGCTCAGAGGAGCCAGCTGTGCCAACACTGTGTGGGGCTGGGTACATTCCTACCCACGATGGTCTGGACGTGCCTTAAACTGGGCTCACGGTCCCATTACAGAGGTCCCAGTGTGACAGTCAGCTGTTGGTGAGGGCATGATCTCGTGCACAGGGACCCTCCATGCTGACGGGGCACCAGCTCTAACGTGAGCTGGCTCCCTTTCCCGTCTGTGGAGAGTGGTGATACGTGAAGGGTGTGGTGAGGTCTACTGTCCCCACCTCCCTCCCCTCCCCAAGGCCTGGGCCTCGTCACGCTTCCAAGCACACACACACAAGTACCCTTCTCACTCCTGGGCACTTGTGTTCACATGTACACATCCCACACGCCCCGTAGCCACCGTCAGGGAAAGGCTGGGCAAACAGACAAATGGGTAATACCCGTTGTGCCAACATGACTCCAATTTTGAAACTTAACGATGTTCCTGATATTGAATGGACTTGACCTTGTCACACATGGTTTAGATCCCAGAGGAAGGAAGTGCAGCTGCCGCTTGTGACCTGGCTGCTCCTCTGTCACCTGGTCCTCCAGGCCCCGGCCCCTCGGGTACCCCAGCTCTGGTGTGGTTGCAGCCTGGCTCCTACCTCGACCCTGGGCATGCGTCCTCTCAGATTTGCTGTGGACACAAGAAAAGTCCCTGGCCTGTTGGTCCCCTATTGTGGGGTGGGCACAGGGAGGTGACTGCTGGCTCTAAGGAGACTCCGGTCAAAGCACAACAGCCTGTGCGCCCTGAAGCCTGACACTCCGGTGGCGGGAATGAATGAGAGGCAGCGGGAAGAAGTCATGAAAATGGTGACGCCCTTGGCAGCTCAGGTGGGACGGCAGCTGTGGCAGGGTCGCTGACCCCTCTGGGAAAGGGTTTTTTCCCGCTAACTTTTCATTTGGACATGCTTTTGACTTAAGAAAAGTTACAAGAATAGTAAAGAAAATTCCTGAACCTTCAGAAGTTTCCATGGTACCACTCCCTCCCCCCGTCCCGCAGGTATGCATGTCTCCTGTGCTATTTAAGAGGCAGCTGAAACACCAAGTACTTCAGTGTGAACTTCCCCAAAGGAGGGCGTTCTCCCCGTGCACGGTGATCACACGCAGGCCTTAGCAACAGCTGTCAGCGGCGGGCCTCGCTCCTCAGGTGGTGTCCGCCGTAAGGAGAGGCTGCCCTGCCTCTCCGGGCGCCCTCGTGCCACTGTGGACGTGTGAGTTACTTTATCCAGTGGGTTACAGTCCTGTGTTCTGACGTCCACACCACTTTCTAAGCATTTTCCTACTTTCTGGCACTAAACATGCTCCAGGATCACCTGACACCCCCCCTCCTCGCCCCCGTCCTGCCCTGGGCACCGCTGTGTCTCCTGGGAGCAGGTCCTTCTGATTGGGCACCACTGTCTCTGGGCTGCTCAGCAGACCCCGAGTCCGTGTCAATCTAGCTCATCGATCTCGGCGTTTAACTGTGCTCTGAGGGGGTTTCTGCCGCTCTGCGGAGCACGCAGCAGGCCTCTCCCAGCCTTTGCCCCGCGGGCTCCCAGCAAGAGTGCCTGCTCTCACTTGTGCATGTGGAGGGAGGGCAAGATGGAGAGGCAGGGGGAGGGGAGCCACGGGGGTGGGACAGACGCGGGGGTGTCTCTGCTCAGAGGCCTGCGCTTTCTGACCACAGATGCGCTACACGCCAGGTAATGTCTGAGCCGCGTGAAACCCTCACAGTCCTAAAGCTGCAGATCGTCTGGTGGTTAACAGCAGTATCACCAACACCAGAAAAGGCCATCAAAATTAGTTCCAAATGTTTTGGCTTTTTTTTTTTTTTTTTCCCCAGCAGAGCTCTCTCTGGATACAGCACGTGTGTACGTGCACGTGTGAATGTGCAAGCCTGCCCCAAGGTGCCTGTGGCCCCCGGACAGGAATGTGTACCAGGCGCCCAGCACCTGGGCCAAGAAGTGCCGGTGGGGCCAGAGGGACCACAGGTGACGGTGCTTGTCTGCAGGCGGGGGGCTGGCTTCCTGCAGGAGCCCATCGGGAGAGGGGACCCCACCGCACAGGCTTGTTCTCTCCGGCAGCACCAGGAAGAAGGCTGGCACGTGGTGACAGAACAACCACTCCTTGTCCCCCAAGTCAGGATGAGGCCCCCCAGCCCCGCTACATTTCAGGGCTCAGTTTCAGAAAGCTCTCAGTGGCCCACACAGGTGAGGGCAGCAGGCCGCTCGGCCCTGGTTTTGGCAGAGGGACAGTGGGTCCTGCCTACTTCTTTGATGGTAAAGGCCCTGCTTTTACCAACAGTCCCAGCCAGCCAGGGAGGGTGAGTTTTGACAAGATTGCCGTGTCCTGCCACGGCGAGGGGAGGCTGAAATGGGGGCCCCTTATGCACCCCAGCTTCCCTGTGGGCTCCTGTCATCAACACAGCTCCTCCGCCCACAACCACCAGGTAGAGCGAGAAGGTAGAGGCCCAGGGCCCTCTGTGCCCCCACCCTCCCCACCCCGCCAGCACAGGAGGGCGTGGTTAAAGCAGGCGGGATGGTGTGACTGCATCCATGGCTATGTCAGCATCGTCACTGGCTCTGGGCTGAGCTGGCCCTGACCCCTTACCTGGTGGAGTGGACACCCTGAGTTCCACCCATGGGATGTGGCCAGCCCAGGTCGGGCACAAATGTGGGTCTGAGGACCTTCTCACCCCCTGGGCCCTTGTTGAAAAGGGCACTGTGTTCCTAGGCTAGAAAGACTGGACTTTATAAATCCAGTTCGGGACTGGCCTGAGGGCACCTGAGGGCAGGGAGCTTCGCTGGCTGGGAAATGGGCCACACACAAGGATGGGGGGCCTGGGGCTGAGAGTGGCCCTGCTGCCAGCCAGTAGGGAAACAGACTTTGAGCAGAAATGTCCCTGTCAGTCCTGCTTGTCCCCTGAGTCCTGGAGACGTCCACAGGGACAGCCATGAGCAGGTTGGGGCCTGGGACCACCCAGCTCAGTCCTGGGCTGAGGCGGAGGCCGGAAGTGCACAGGCCCACCTGTCCATGCTGCCTGTCTCTCCTGAGGCTTCTGCTATGCCAGACCCCAGCCCCGGCGGAGTGGATACACCGCGCCCAGGAGTGGCGGATACTCGGGTGGGCTGGAAGGCACAGGCCCTCTCCCGCCGGCGGCAGGCACACAGCAGGGCTTGCGGAGCACGGCTCCCTGCTCGCTTCGCCCGGCCCTGACTGCCCTCAGATCCCCTGCAGAGGCCCCATGCCCTCACCCTCAGAGCAGCCTGACGAGGGGGACCGGTGAGCACAGAGGACTGGGCACCAGGTGTGCAGGAAGGCCAGCGGAGCTTATATGCACAGCCGCGGGGGACCTGCGTCCGGGCCTCCTCACTCGGGGTCCAGCTGGGGAGAACAAACACAGAGAAGCATCCGCGAGGGGAATAAGCCGGCGACGTGGGGAGGGACGTGCTTCTGTGTGACCTCCAGAGCAGTCACGGCTGAGCATCCCGAAGCGGTTCCTGCTCCGGCGGCCGGGAGCCTCTGCATCCCGGGGGTTTCTCAAGGAGCCCGCGTGGAAGTTCCACGCGCGCCTCCCCGACGGGCAGCCCCGCTACTTGTGCAGCCATAAAAGTGAGAAAACAAACAGTTCGCTTGTTGCTCGCTCAGAGCTGGGGAAGGAGCCAGGCCCTTTACCGAGCGATACAGGAGGGCAGGCGCCTGAACAGCCCGTCTTTGGAGGGAACAGCAGCGGAGAAGCGGGCGCTGGTGTCAGAGATCAGGCTTAACGACACCCCCTAAGCGTTTCCAAAATAAATAAACAGCCTGGGCTAAAAGGAGTAAATCGCTGAGCAGTGCCCACGACCAGCACATAGAACCCGCCACAGCCGAGCGGCCACCTTGGCAGCACTCCTTCCTTCCCACTGAGGTTCCAGGCCCGTCCTGGCACTCAGCAGGGCACCCGGGCTCCCGGCTGGGGCTCCAGTGCTTTTCGTTTCCTGAACATAAACGCACGTTCGGTGTGCGCCGGCCCTCCAGGCACCGCATCACAGGGACGTTTCCCAGGCTGCATGAGTCACTGTGTCCTCCCGGAGCCCCCGCCTCTGGGTCCATGCCTCGGGAGCCTGGACAGAGGACTCGAATGCTGGCGAAGGGGCACATCAGGTTTGAGCAGGGGAAGGACATGACCCCACTAATGAGCTGGGACGCCTGCTGCAAGTTCCTGCTGCTTCAGATTTATGTGCTGTTCCTTCGCTCCCACAGGTGAGGTGCTGGGAGGGAGAGCATGCTGCATGGAAGCACCGACCAATGGGGCCTGGGCGCGGTGGGGGGGCTGGAAGGCCAGTGGCTCCCCGCTCCTGGGGGGTATGGAGTCGATACTTCAGGTGGGAGCCCCGAGGCGGGCCCTGTGCCCTCAGTCCGCTTGGGGCTTCACTGCGCCATGTAAATGAGAACAAATACGGTGACGGTGACACTCGCAGTCCCTGACAACATGGAATTCCTTGAAAGGAAGGCTCTGTTTTCCAAGGGCCTGGCTCCCCGGGAGCACCACGTGCGGCTCC